GCTGTTTTTGAAGTATGAATAAGTCAATAAGTAATTTATTCCATTGAAATATCATTGATGTATTATAGAAAAGTGATTTATCTTTTTATAAATGACAAACACAGAGTGTAGCAAACACAGAGAAATAGTCTGACATGCTGTCAGTGATAAGCTGCTAGTCATCACAGTCCATGTTATCAGTCAGATTCTGCCCCTACATTGCATGTTATTATTTTATTCTGCTTTATGTTTATATTGTACAGCGTTATGATAAACTTCATTCCAGACTCAAGTCCATATAAGATACATAGAAAAACACAGACAATGTATGATTTTGTTGTTGTTTGTCTTTTTATTTTATTTTTGCCAGTGCCATACAGCAACAATGCTTGGGGATGTGGTCTTTTACAAATTTGAAAATACTATAAGAATGTCACTTTTATAGAATTGGCTTCTTTATTTTATAATATATGATTAATGTCTACATCAACAAATGTTAACCATAGAATCGCATCAAATCGTATCGAATCATAACGTTCCTACACTGTATCTAATCATATCGTTCCTACACTGTATCAAATCGTATCGAATCGTTCTGTATTAAAAATATATCGTTTTTGTATCGAATCGTCTATCACATAGAGATTCCCAACCCTAGTATCGGCAACCACTACTGAATTTTTGGTATTGTGACATCCCTAGTCCAGAGCCTTCAGCATCTCAGGGCGAATCTCATCCACACATGGCAGTTTGCCACTGGGGAGATCTTTGACGACCTCAGCAACTTCTGCCAGGGATATGGGCGAGAGTTTCCCCGAGTTGTCAGGCTCTGACTCTTCCACGGTGGACGTGACGACCGGGTTCAGGAGTTCTTCAAAGTGCTCCTTCCATCAGTCGACGATATTCCCAGTTCGGAACAGCAGTTCACTTTCTCTGCTGAGCACAGCCTGAGACAAACCCTGCTTTCCCTTCCTGAGGTGTCTAATGGTCTGCCAGAACTTCCTTGAGACCAACCAAAAGTCCTTAACCTCCCCAAACCCCTCCCACACCTGGGTTTTGGCTTCAGCAACCACCACAGCTGCAGCCCTCCTGGCCAACTGGTACCTGTTTGCTGCTTCAGGTGACCCCTGGGCCAGCAAGACCCGAAAGGCCTCCTTCTTCAGCCTGACGGTCTTACTCACTGCTGGTGTCCACCAGCGGGTTCTGACCACAGCTCCTAGCAGCCATTTCAGCAATGGAAACTTTGAACATGCATCACTCGGATTCCATGTCCCCAACCTCCCCTTGGATGCATGAGAAATTCCTCCAAATGTGGGAGTTGAAGACCTCACAGACAGGGGCCTCAGCCAGACGTTCCCAGTTCATCCTCACTTAGGGCTGTACGCTATACCGGTTCGTACTGAAAACCGGTATTTATTTTCATTATGATATGAATTTTTCATATACCGCAATAGCCAAAAAAACGTCCGGAACGTACGTGGCGGCAAAGTGTTTTAGCGGGGACCCATTTCACTGCTGTACACCACAGGCGTGCTAGAGCCGGCGAGAGCAAGAGCATAGAGAAAAGTTCAGAGGCAAGAATGGCTGCCGGAGAGAGTCCTGAAAGCGAAGCAACTGTACACGATGACCCAGAAGAACTCATACCAATGTTGGGATTCACAGGACCACAGATGTTTTGTCATTTGGTAAAATCTACACTGGACATTTAAAGGTTCCTTCTCTGCATGCTCTTCATTCTCAAACAAAGACAGCTATTTGACACCCAACTCCAGGATGTCTCGCCTCACACCTCAGTGCCACAGCTTGATTGGACAGGACAACTTGATTGGACAGGACTTTTACAGTGACATGTGACTTTGTGATGTCACAGGCATCTGTAGAAGGTCTGCTCCCTTCAGACAAATCTCTCTTACTCGGGAACTGCGGAGCACCCCACACCTTTTTCCTGCTGGACCTTTTTCCGTCTTGCCCACGCTCAAGGCTGAGGCAAACCTGAACCAAAGAAGTTGGACTTGCAAGCACAAGGTTTGCAACTAGCTTTCCAGCAACAAGGAACTAAGTGAGTTAGCGCCCAGTGCCTCGGATCAGAACCTTGGGAACAAGGACACAGCAAAGACTGCAGCTGGAACCACAGCTCTTACCAGCCTTCTTTTGCCGGCTAACAAAGCAGTACACCACCAAGTGACTCTTTCTCCCATCCACTCAAGGATAGGTAAAGTAACAATTAGGCATATCTTTATCACAGCTTTACAGGCTAAGCGATTTTTTTTATGTAATTAAATTTTTTAAAATTTTATATACTTTATTAATCCCCAAGGGGAAATTCAATTTTTCACTCTGTTTGTCAATTACACACAGGTCCGAAAACACACATGCACAAACAGGACCTATACATGCACTAAGTGGAGAGATGTCAGAGTGGGCTGCCCATGACAGGCGCTCCGAGCGGTTGGGGGCTTGCTCAGGGGCACCTCGGCAGTGCCCAGAAGGTGAACTTGCACCTCTCCAGCTACCAGTCCACACTCCATATTTTGGTCCGGACGGGGACTTGAACTGGCGACCCTCCGGTTCCCAACCCAAGTCCCTATGGACTGAGCTACTGCCGCCCCCAAGACTGTTTAACTTGTTGTATTTGATTTAATGCTGTCAGTGTTTAGTGTGCTAATACTGCTCACGAACAGATTCTTGCACACAACTAAACAATCTCTGCACTAATCCAGACTGTTTGCAACACAAATCACATTGACACAGACTCATTAACAAATAGGCTTTCAGCTATGACGGAGGGCCACATTGAAGAAAAAAAAAATCGGAGATTTCGAGAATTAAATCGAAATATTACGAGAAAAAACTCGTAATATTTTGAGAATAAAGTCATAACTGAGAAAAAGTCATAATATTACGAGAATAAAGTCGAAATATTATGAGATTAAAGTCGTAATTTAATGAGATTAAAGTCATAATATTACGAGAATAAAGTCGTAGTTTTTAAGGAAATAACCAACAACAATCAGAATGTCAGATTGTCTTTCATGCCGTTGTAAGTAGCCTACTTAATTAGGTACGGGAACCGGCACCGTGCCGGTGTTCTGACAATTTGATTCTGTGTCAGTCGAAATGCGCTGTTTGTGATTCCGGGCCCAGCTCTGCCACTGATTGGACAGTCTGACATTCTTCATAATACATAAAGAACATTGGTGAAACACACAGGCCTAACAGTGTTCGTTTGGGGACAAGTTAGTGGTCATGTTACTTGTTCCACAGGCAAAGGACCCTGGACACATAACCTACAGTAAATACACCGGTTGTTAGTAACTTTTAACATACATGAGTCTTTGTGACCCTTGGCTCTTGTCCCCTAACTAACGCTTGTTTCTTTCACTAAGGAGTTGTAAGATTGAGCTGACCCACTCTTAACACTCTTCTTAGCCACCAAATGCTCACAGATCCAGACGCGGCACGCACATTAATTTTACACTAGCCTAAGCAAGGAGATGTTAAAACAGTGCGCACCGTATATATTTTGGTCTATTTTATACTTCAGATTTATATTGTTTGGCATTAATTGGTGACAGAAAAGAACGAATTTCATTCTGCAGGGAAACGCGTGTCCTTACTGTGCATATTGAATCTTGAATCTATGTTTTATGAAGACCCTGTGTGCGCTCAGAGCTGTGGCACAAGTTACGCAACAAAATCTGGCGGAAGAAAAATAATAATAAGACAAAAAATAAGTAGGCTGTGTGTGACATGCGCTGATGAAGTGGTGGGTGATCGACATGCCTGACATCGATTGATTTAGTTTCAGCACCACGGTAGTGGCCAGCTCCTGTTGGCCACTAACCCCCCAACCCTAACCCTAAGTTTTTTCTCTTAATATTTCGTCTTTATTCTCAAAATCATTTCCCAATGATTCAAATCACTTTCAGATGGAAACATAGCTTGTGTGTGTGCGTGAAAGTGGCGCAGCAGCCAGGACGCATATACATTAGGAGGAGGCGCTGCAGCATGATAATAAATCACACCCAAATGTAAAAAAGTAAGCTAACAGTTACAGATAAAAGAGCAGGTAACGTCCGAGCTTCTCAATACAACGGTTGTTCATTACTTAGCGCTGCGGCTCATTTACTACCGGTGAGATTAACGTGGTTAAAGCTTCACACATCCATGGGAAAAATATATTAAAAGATCGATCTTGGATTTTACGAATTGATATTGGGTCATTCCAGTGAAGACCGATTTGAATCGGATAAATCGATTATTTTAACCCAGCCCTTTGTTATGTTAATGATACATATGTATTGTTCATCATGCTGTCATGGTTATCATTAATAAATAAATGATGTAATATATGTTAAGATGCCACTGTATCACAGAGTGAAAAGGGTTAACTTTGATGCAACATAACCTGTGCCACACAACCTAGACCAATGACACTGAGGTAAACCATATAACCTTAATATTTCCATATGACTCTAACTTATACAGTTAGGTAAAGTAACATTAGGTGGCTAATATCCTCTGTACTAACCTTATGAGTCTGCTAACATAAGCTATTGTTTCTCTGTACGACATTAGCATAAGTAGCTAGCGTTAGCTAACGTTAGCAAATTCATAAGTTTAGTACCTAAGTTATTTGCTGCTTCACATTTAGGTGATCTACCTTTATAAGCTACAGTTATATGGAAATATTAGCTTGTAATACTTACCTTGGTGTTATTGGTGGAGGTCGTATGGCTTATTCAAACTAATGAATGCATGTTATTGTATCCTCATGATTGTCTCCTGGGTACACACTTCACTTCCTTCTTCTAGCTCGGGCCCAGAATAGGTCTGACAGAGGACTACTGGCCTTCGCAGAGGTCTGCACTCTCCAAGTACCCTTCTAGTCGTATAATTAGAATGTGTTGATTTGCTGTGATGCTGGGGGAAATGTCTAAAACATTATGATTCCAAATTCAGGATATTTGACGTGTGAGACAACTGTGAAAAATGCCACTTACAACAGAAAGATATCTTACTTTGACAGTTGGCCTAGGTCCTCACAAGAGAAAGGAACCAGCAGCTTGAAGTGGGTCAGGGCGGTCCCACTGCACCAATTCAGCACCAGCTTTCGTACCACGGTACTTTTTCCTGTTCCCACAGCCCCATACAGCACCACATTGAGCCCCCGGCCCTCACTGCTGGCATTTGTGGGCTCAAACAGCTGTTCCACAGTCACAGAATGGCTGGATGAAGTGTGGGTTTGGAGAGGGGAACTGAGCAGTACTGCCCTTTCCTCAGCATTTCTTTCCAGGATCAGTGGATCCACATGCATGGTCTCTGGGCTGAAGTAACCACCAAACTGTTTCTCCTCCTGAGGAAGGTGGCTGAACCACAGGAAGAGCTTTCTCTTGTGGATCTCTACAGGATTTTCTGTGAGAGAGAAAGAGAGGTGTATGTACACTTTCCTGGCATCACTAAGACATCGTCAAGGTTATTTTCTCAGACATACAACATCATCAGAAATAGCAGTAAGATAGTTTGTCTCAAAGGCTGTTCCACTGGCTAATGATAGCAGCAAACTGAGAATGGCAGCTCTTCTGAGAGCAGTTTGTCTTCAGTTTAGCATATACTGTTTTGTTTTTAACCAATATTTAACTAACATTAAATTAGCATTTTCTAAAATGCCCTTGCAGAGCTTTGGGAAAGTAACTTGTTGTGCTGTACTAACAACCAGACTACGCTTAATTTAAAGCTTCATGTCGAACATGCACCCAGAACAGAAAGAGATCATTTCTGTTACCAGTGGTACAGTTTCCATCGCCTACCTACAGAGAGGAATAGGTTGCCACCCATCCTGTATAATACCGGATCATTCTGCATTGGATGTGAGAGTCAAAGTCAGAATCTTGTTTTAAATGTAACGGGTGGTGAGAAAAAATTGGTGGCTGAGAAAAAATTGAGCTCTCCAAGTACCACCATTATGACCAGCCTAAACATACAGTGGCGGAGCCTTACCTTATTAGCTACGGACAGTTCACACAGGAGACATGTTTATTTCTAATATGTGGATTATTTATTGTTGATTATTTCCCACCACAGCCACACTGCAAGGTTCAGCACCTCTTTATCTCTCAAACACACAGAAAATTAAAGCTGCGAGCAGCATTGGCCAGGACCTCGCACTTGTGCCCGTTTCGGCCTCCAGCTCATGCAGACAGTGCAAATTATTCGTAAGAGTCATAATGTCGAGAAAACAAGCAATGTCAAGGGTATGCAAGGTCATTTTTGGCAATAGAGGGACTTTATATTACAGTACGTTACAATAGTATTTAACAGTCATATTCACAAAAGTAGCAACAGTATTATCAGTAATAAAGGCTGTAGTAGTATGTGGAAGACGGAAAACACTGATATATAATGTGTAGATGCTGTTTCAAATGGAGATTCTGCTGCTGCAATCTGTCCTTTAAAGATTGTGAGACACGCACACACAGAGGGCTGTGTGTGTGTCTGTGCCTGAAGCCGTTGTCATGGCGATTAATGACTTGAAAAACATTTTAGAGTATAAATAAGAGTAGTTCTGAAATTGAAAACTGAAAATTAATCTTAGAGTCACTTTTATACTATAGACATTTCCTTAGCCAGTTATAATTTGTCCTTACATGTGAAGCCTTGGGTTGATAATTGGTGCTGCTGTCAGGTCCTTGTCCTGATACCTGCCTGGTTTCTCCCTGTCCCTCTTCTATCTATTGTAATAATATAGATAATAAATGTGCAAAGCAAAATTTATAATAGGATTAAGAATAGTAGTGGTGACATAGCTGTGGAAATTGATCGCAAAGTCACTTTTATGCTCTACATATTTTTCTCAGCCAGTTATATTCTCTTCTCACCTGTGAAGACCCTGCATGATCATCCTTGCTTGCCTCTGGTCCACTGTCTCCTCCCTGACCCTGCTCTTTCTATTGTGGCAATAAAGATTAAAAAAAATATGTGCAAAGCTATAGTGAGCACAAGTTCTTATAAAGGAGGAGTGGGTTTATTCCTAGCATGAAACTAGCTAGCAAGCGATTTAACATAGGTAACAATAACAATTAGTATTCTTGTTAACTAGCTTAACTTGATACATTGGCATCTATTAATTAGTCATCATTTAGCTAACATTATTGTATATTGCAGCGGTGCCTGGATGGTGTGACGTGTGTGATTGTGCTGCTGCCGTGGTCCTGCCAGATGCCTCCTGCTGCTGCTGTTATCATTAGTCATACTTCTACCGTTATTATACACATATGATTATGGTCACATATGTACACTATCAGATATTAATATATACTTTCAACATATTGTACCACAACAGCCAAAATTATAATAGTATTACTTTCAGCCAGCTAAATCCAAATTTGAGATACCGCATGATGCTAGTAGGTGCTGTGGACATTTCACTTGCGCCTCTTGAGTAGCCGCTAGCATTTGTGCTCGGTTTACTGTCGTCCTCCACTTCATTTTCAACACATCTGCTCCAAATATTCTCCTCCTGAAAAGCAGTCCTCTTTGTGATAGTTCCAGTTTGGAGCCACGATTGTAGTGTTCTTGAACCACTCATCTTCAGTCTCTACATTTTTACCTCTGTTTATATATCCAGGCACACTTCAACTCGTAAAGAATTGTGTCTCAAGCATGCGCAAAGTGCACATAGTACTCTCTACATAGTAGAGACAAAAATGAAGGAAAGACAAATATGAATTTATCATGTTTTATGTATTGTCATTCTAAGTGTAGTGTAATGTACTGATTTACTGTAGTGTTTATACTGTACCTTTAAGTTGACCTTTAAAGATACGTGTTGAAGCAATGTACTCTGCACTGACAAGTCACACGCTGGTTTATTATTTCATGTATTCCTATGACACACACATACACTCATTGAGCACTTAAGCATTGTGGTGGAGAAGTACCTAGGATTCACTGTGCATCATCTTGTAAAAATAGCATGAGGATGGGCTCAGAAACATTGGTGGAAAGTTAGGGGAATTCCAGCTTGTCCTGATATGACTCTGGTAAGAAGAGGCAGGCCTAGACTGCCCAGGAAAGCATTACGAGTGCAAGTAGATAGGCTGGCTTCAAGGGAAGAACGGAGAAGCTGCGACACCGTTAAGTTCAGCCCAAGTGGGTAGGATGAAAGAAAAAAGTGGAGACTCAGCAGAAATGTGACACCATTATGTTCAGCCCCAAGTGGGTAGGGTTAAAGAAAAAAGACGACTCAGCAGAAATCTTCACAATAAAAGCGAGTGCACAGACAAAGAAATTCCAGTCTTGCTCCGGAGGATGACTCATTGAGTTGATGTGCTGATGCCTACGTGTACATTAAACTCTGTTGTACTTTGATAATATTATTTGATATTTGATAATATTGTATGTTTTCAAATTAACTTAATTAAAAAATATATATATTTATGACCACTAGAGGGAGCTCACGTACCACCATAGTTTGAGAATCTAGGCCCTCGCCAACACAAAACACCCTTACTAAGGGTAATGAATGAAGACCCTTTGACAAAACATTAGCAACCACTAGAGATCGCCCTGCAAATCACTAGAAAACACTTGAGACTCAACAACAAGACTTAACACCTACTACTGATGATTAGACCAGACATACTGCTCCTGTTTTTAATAATGTTAATATTACCACACTTTCTACTAATGTAGCTACAACTATAAATTATACCCAGAGAGGATTTCATATCAACAAACCAACCTTGGTGTTATTGGTGGAGGTCGTTCTTTCGATTTTTACGGCCCTATTTTAATGGTGGTGTAATTAGCAGTGCAAGCAGAGCGCCACCTGTGAAAACCGCCAAGGTATGGTATTTTGTTGTCTAGCACAGAGTGCACAGTGCACAGGTGGGAGGAGAGGAACAAACAGCAGGGAGGGAGCAGCAGTCAAATGAGGCAATGCAGAAAAAGTCTGTTGACAACCTGCTGATTTTGTCAGAAAGAGCAAACTTACGACTTAATACTTGATTTAAAATAAGTTAAGTTAAGTTAAATTAAATTAAATTAAGTCAAATTAAATTACATTAAAGTAAACTAAGTTAAACTACCACTTGGAACAAATGTGCAGCAATACTGGATTAATGTTTAAAACGTAACAAAACAGGGACCCACTTGTAAAAACAGAACCTTTCTGTTTCTGCGTACTGGTATTGTGCATCCTGACTCAGACTGTCACAAAAAAACAACACATCAAAGATAAAACAGTATAGCTTACCGGTAGCCTGCAGCTGCAATTTTTGAGACAAAAAGCTTGCTTTAAATAAATGGAGGTGTGGCGTTTGATGGTGGATATTTACCAGGCAGGAAGAGTCTCAAAGACATCTCATGGGAAAGATTCAGTGTGGTTGGAGCCTGACTCATACCAGGAACAAAAACGATCTCTGCCTCTGCTGCATAGATTCTTTTTTAATCTGTCTCTCACTGTTCTCCCAACTTTATGAAAGTGGAATACTAAATTGTTGGAGAGCCCCTCAACACACACTGAGCGCGTTTACATGCACACTAATAAACCAATCATCTGATTTCTGGAGTTACCTGATTATTCAAGTGGTCATGTAAACAGCATAATCCGATAGGCTTTATCAGATAAAAGCCATTATCTGATCATGAGAAATCAGATAAACACACCTAGTTTTTTCCCCAATAGTCAGATTATTCGGTGCATGCATACCCTTTAATCTGGTTTCTTTCGGATTTTGCTATTTTATACTCCCACTCTACTACATTTTAGAGGGAAATATTGTACTTTCTACTCCACTATGTTAATCTGACAGCTTTTGTTTCCTTTCAGATAAAGATTTAACACAAAATAATATATTTTTATATTCTCAGTGTTTAAATTGTCACTTTTATTTTATCTTACTTATATGTTATGCACTTTGTGTGACAAGTTTATATACAATACACTTGTATATTGCACTTTGCAGTACTTTTACTCTGAATCTACCCAAAGTATGTAAAATTGGCTCCACATTAAACTACATATTAGAATGCTCTCACATGTATTTGTTAATGATAAAAACAAACAGTACTGTAAGAATATAAGCTGTCAGCATGATGAGTGCTTTATTTTGCAAATATATGACTTGCATACTTTGAGGTTTTTCAAGGATATGAGTACCTACTGTAACAGGAAGTTTGGACGTTTGAGTTTTATGGAGAAATCCAACTGAAGGACTGAATCATGTAAACCAGGTTTTTCTGATTATCAGATTATTGAAGTGCACGTAAACACGTCAAATCAGATTATTACCATTACCTGATTATTCCCAGTTCTGATTATTGTGCGCATGTAACCGTGCTCAATGTTTCTACCACTGCTGCTGTTACAACAACTGTTACTTATAGTACTCTGTGGTCTCATATACCACCGTCCTGCAACCTTTGACCAATCACTAAAGCTACAGTGAATTCAACTGTAATGAAACTTAAGTGTTAAATACAACATTCTGTATTTTCACAGTGAAGACAGCTTTTTACTGCTGTAGCTGTATGAAGGAAGCACTATGTTGTCTTGATTATCAAATAGCAATAAAGCTTTGAATTGAGTTGTGCACCTGGTCCTGAGGTGGTGGAGCAGAAGGTCCTGCAGTGAAAGCCCGAGGCTGGGTACAGAGAAACCTCCACCCTCCTCTTCCACCTCCATGCTCCGAGCAGCTGGCTCAGCTGTCTGGAAACATAACATATCATACCGGTTGGTTCAGTTGGCTTATTCACAGTCTTTATAGCATGCAAATCCACAGAGACAAGCTAGAAAGGTTATTTCAATCCCACAGTCAACAACCAACTTTATTAAAAACTGATCCTAGATCTGCCTCACATGCTGGTGTATTGGCAGAGAACAGCAGCTATTAGGCTGTTTGCAGGTTGTAGCAGGTACTGAAGTACTGACATACCTACAATGCATTGACAGGTTTTATAAGCACACAAAATTACACCTCTTAATTTAACTGAGACTTGTCTCATGCTGTTTTGAGATATTCACACACAGGGAGCTCCAGACTGCATGACATGTACTGTATATGTCAAGTAGGAGTATAGGGGCATTCTAAAGAAGTGTGACTATTAAGTAATATAATGAATGGTTCTTTCCCAGAAGGAACCAGCTCATATTCTTTACTTTAACTAAGTAAGCGTATTTTTTGTAATACCTCTTATTATGCAGGAGTGACGGTGACAACAACAGCAGTTTTGTGGTAGACGAACTTTTAGAGAATGTGAACACACCACCTATTAGCCTACACCTAAACTCCTCGTCCTTCTTCCATTTTGATTTTTGATTTGAATTAGCCAGAGCATTTTATCATTTACATGAAGCTACAGTACAGGCCAAAAGTTTGGACACACCTTCTCATTCAATGCGTTTTCTTTATTTTCATGACTATTTACATTGTAGATTCTCACTGAAGGCATCAAAACTATGAATGAACACATGTGGAGTTATGTACTTAACAAAAAAAGGTGAAATAACTGAAAACATGTTTTATATTCTAGTTTCTTCAAAATAGCCACCCTTTGCTCTGATTACTGCTTTGCACACTCTTGGCATTCTCTCCATGAGCTTCAAGAGGTAGTCACCTGAAATGGTTT